CATGTCTTTCACCTGAGCTACAGGTCTCTCCAGCTCCCCCAGAGTCACAATAGGCCTGATATGGCTGAGATTTATAAATTACGTTTACAGGTTAGCCTGTCTTTGAAGGCAGTTTGGTGCAATGGCTTTTATCTAAGGCTAGCAGAGTAAAAGGGGTCATACTCAAACGCTCACCTTTCACACAGTAGTTGAATTTTGTGTGCTGAAGTGACAGAATGCACCAACAGCTGACGCGGACGACGACTTCCCCTCGGAGTCCTGTCATCTGCCACTTAATCACCAGAAACTGGAAGTCAGAAACTGAACCCAACCGAGAAATCCGTCCATTTATAGCCTGATGATGTCACTCAGAGAAATCCTGGGGCTATGGGTTATGTTAGGTTGATTCCAGTGTTATGAGACCAGGTGTGACCAAATTAACCAGTGTTGCAATAAGACCTGTAATCCTTTTTCCATTTTTCAAACAGAGATATGTATGACGGGGGAGCATGGTGTGCTCGAATTCCAAACTACCTACAGAATCTACATTTTGGTTTGTGACTGTGTGTGTCTGCGTATGCCATCATAGAGCAGATTTGGAAAATCTAACAGTTCTACAACAAATCAGCTTCAGAATAACTTCTTTTTCTTTTTTTACTTTGTAATGTCTTGGATGTGCATGTCCACACTGGTCTGTGCACATTAACAAAAGTACCAGAAAAATAAAAACTTACACAGAAAAGAGTTTTCTTATTGCAGAAGTCAGCTATGGTCACATGAACTTTTGCAATAATCTTGTACATACAGCAGTGCTAAAAGTGTTACTTGCCCTGCCTTGCATTTTTGACCTAACCACACTATAACCCAGTTTTTTTTTTTCTCACAAATGTTTTTTTCATAATTGCGCCAAAGAATGGCACCTTTGTCTGTAATCTGCGTCGCATCAAGCGTAGGTCGCCACCTGGAAGCCGAGCGTTGGGACCGGCTGCTGAAACGGCACATTGCTCCTCCACGGTCTCGCAAAATCAATTAGGCTGATTGGTTGCAGTGAAGATCAATTTGTGGCTCTGAAACACTGAGGTCTTCTCCTGCAGTCAACTGAGGGGGTTTTGGAGCCTCGACGGGTCGCATCGAACGACATGTTTGGATGGAAGTGATCAGATGGAATGTGCATGATCATCACATTGACATATTTTGCTGCTGGTATGTTGTTGACAAGCGGGAGACAAACAACACGTCCAGTCATGGAGACACGGGGAGACAGCGTGACACGCTCTCGGCCCCAACGCACAGCCTGAGCCTCCGTCGGACCTCGGACGTGTTCCCATACCCAGAGTCTGGACACGACACCGGACAATAGGTTAGACTCTGTACAGGTCAATTTATTTAGATTTCGGTTCACAACAGGAAATCTAAAGAAGAAAGAAAAGTAATTTAAATCCAATCATACATACATTCAAATTTGTTTGAACAGTGCATTAAGTTCAGTTTTCAAATTAGGTTAAAAAGTTTTCTGTCTAAGACAGGGGTGTCCAAAGTGCGGCATGGGGGCCTTTTGGGGCCCTCTGCAGGATTTTGGGCGGCTCCTCGACCTCATTTCTTCTTCTAGCATACTTTGTTGACAGAGATGTTCACTTTTTCCATCTATTAGGGCAAATTTTCTGTTTTTTTTAACAGATAAATATCTTGGATAACAAATATATTTCTGCTTATAAGGATATCTGAATAAGGAAATAGTTAATTGCAAAAAAATTAGAAACTGTGGCCCGATGGAGTATTGGGGCCAGAATAAAATTACAAGAATAAAGTCATAATATTAAGAGAATAAAGTCCAAATAATATGAGAATTAGTTGTAATAATAAAAAATTGTAATGAGAATTAAATCATAATGTTACAAGAATAAAGTTGTAATAATGAGAATAAGGTAATAAAATTCAAAGAATAAAGTCTTACAACAATAAAGTCAAAATAATAACAATATAAAAAGTCCTAATAATTAGAATAAATTCATAATATTACAAGAATACTTATATTATTATGACTTTCCTTTCTGTATTATTTCTACTTTATTCTTGTAATATTATGATTTTATTCTCATGTTTTTACTATTTTTAGCGTAGCCCTAATATTAATTTACTGAACTTTTTTATATATATATATAAAAATCTTCCTATTTTGTTGATTTAAAAAAATTTATATATATATTTTAGTTTATTATTGAACACACACAATTTAAAAGGGTACAAAAAGTTTATTTAATAAATGTTGTAAAACTAATTTTGTTGTGGCTCCATGTGCTTCCAGCTTAACAATTTTGGTCCTCATGGCAAAACGTTTGGACACCGCTGGCCTAAGGCAACCCAGCAGATTGCGTTGACTCATTGACTTGTAGCATGTAGCATGTTCTGAACGTAGCATTTAGCAACAGTGGACAATCTATCCACTGTACTGCTAGACAAACGGAGGTCAGTCTTGCGGTTCATCTCGTCCTTCTGGTGGCCTTCATCTTGTGTTTGGAGGGAAAATCCTTCTCTTCCAGTTGAACTTTTCATCTGAACACACAATTACAATCCATGTCAGATGTTTTTGTCCGCTGGTCTCATGGTGGATTTTGTTCACTTATAGTCGATGATTTCCATGCCATGCGATCTCGCTCTTTGCTCATGATCAGTCTGACTCGATGTCGGACACGTTGTGAGCCATCGTTGACTCTGACTGTAAGCGTTTCAGGCTGGGGATGTTTCTGGAAGCGCGTCATAAGAGAATTTACTGACATCCTCACGATCTGCTGAGTCAAACTGAAACTAATGATGCGAGCACGTTCAGTGATACCAAAACCAGAAGAGACAAAAACATTTTCTTGCTTATGAGTTAATGAAAAGTGAAAGAAAGAGAAATAAACTTATCACAGTGCAAGGAAAGAGAAAATGTGTCTTTATAGGAATAGCTCAAGATTTTCTAAGCTTGATGTGTTGGTCCTGGAGGCTGAAGCTAATGGTTGCTAAGTTTACCGTTTCCTTCTCAAATATCTCCATGTTCTAAAATGTTATAGTACTCCATTACAAAGTGACTTTATGAGCCTTTAAGTCATTTTCAAATTAGCATTGGGCAGTTAATTACACAGACACTGAAGATTGTTTATAGGAGAAATGGAGGTTTTGAAGGTGGTGCACCACTAATTATATTCCTGTGTGGAACGCTGAATATGTCAAACGATTCCAGTCAGAATAACTACATAAGATGGTGTGAAAAACAGAGAAATAGTGTTGATCTAAGCTACCTTTAAAACTTACTGTTTTCCTTTCTTTAAAATTAGGTAATTATTTTGATTGAAAAAAACTTAACATTTACATTTTTAAGTACATGTTTCACACAGGACAGTCATTGGTGCCGCAACACCTCCAACCTCTTTCTACTGTAAATGATTTTACAGTACTAAGGCACTTTTAAGAGAGGAGGACCCAACAATTAAAGAAGTGCTAGTCCCTCTTGAAATAAGTGTTAGCCTTAGCCTACGTGACCAACTGAAGTGGATATAAATCAAGACAGAAAAAAGTTATTTATTGCTCATAAACTTATAGCCTCTTATAACTTTTGAGCAGAAGCTCCCTCAGTTAACCAGCAATACAACCTCAACCAAAAATTTTAGTTTAGACTACTCCCTTATGAAAAATGCTGAGTTTGCCTCCGCTGACAGTAAATTGCTTATTTTTAGATTTCAATTCTTTTTATGTACGCGGTGTTTATTATACTGCTGGAGTGGAAAGCTTTGATATATGTATTAACATATTATAAACAACAATGATGATCAAGGAAAAGGAAAGTGAATCATGAAAGCCAAAGAAAGCAAGGGTAGCTTATTTGTGTACCACCAATCCCATAAAGGGTTATTCAGTGTTTTACAGAACAATAACTGAAGGAAGGTGAAGAAAATTACATAAGAAACAACAAATCATTTAAAATACAGGAACAAGTCAGATTCCTGTAAGAAAATCAAACAGCTGCTATCTAAAATGTAAGGAAACTAAAATTATGACATACATTTTTCAGCATGTTATTTTTATTACATTTATTATTATTATTATTATTTGAATAATAGTAATAATCAAAAAACACTAATTGATTTCATTGCTGGGGGTCCTGTAGTGGGGTGGGGAAAATTAAAGTAGTCTTAACTGATTGGTCAGGCTCTCTTGACGTCCCTCCTTACTAGAACAGTGATTGGTTCGATTGGCGTTAAGCCTCGCCATGGGCGGGGCCTGGTGCCTGTTGTATGTTGAACCGACGCGTTCGGCGAGCTGTGAATTTAGAGGGTCTCTCTCCACCGGGGTGATAAGATAGCACACTTCAACGACGGAGGGGACGTCGCTGATATTAGGAGAAAAAAACCCAAACAAAACAACACTTTTCATCAACTAACCGGTGGATACATAACTCGCCCTGGAACTGGATTAATATTAAGTCGACTTTTTTAGTTTTTCTTTTTAATTTGCTTTAGAAGACACCCGAACTCATCGAAGACAATGGGATCCCAGACATCCACAGCCGCGGAGGCGAACGCTGCTGCCGCTGATGCTGCAGCTGTCAAAACCAACGGACAGGTAGCCACTCACAGCTTACTACTATTCACTTTTTTTTGCCTTTTTTTCCCCACCGGGAAACATCTGTGCGCGTGGATAGAAGTTGAATTTCTCTCATAAAATCACCTGTTTGTTCTTTTTTCTTTTTATTTATTTATTTATTTTTTTTTTTTGGTCGAAGTTCTGTCGTTTTGGGCAGGACAGGTTGGGGGCGGGGAGCTTTTTACTGTCTGGCACCTTCACCCCAAAAACTACCAAATTATCTTAAAATGTTTGCTTTTATGTTAGCAAAACCGTAGAGTTGACTGTTCGGGTTTTGAGGTTAGTCTGTGTTTATTTGTAAATGAAGACAAATGCGACCCCCTATCTCCATTAACGTGTTGGATACAGTCAGTCAGGCTTAAAGGGGAGGGGGTGGGGGAGCCTGGATGCACGTAGACAGTCTACTACTCCTCCCTGGTAAAACCGAGCCGACTATTTATTTGAATGGGACTTTCCTTGATATATTCAACCTATGAGTCACATTCGGTGTACCCTTTAACGCTGTACTATAGTTATGACTTTATTATGAATGTTAATTAGACAGGTTCACCTGCTCAAATAAATTAAGAAAAAAAATTGACCCCACCAATGGTTCTGCCGACGTTTGGTTGGTTCTTGTATTTTTTTAATTATTCATTTTCTTTTATATATAATGAGGTAATTTTTTTCTGGATAAAAATGAGCGTAAAAGCAGTACATGTGTTTTCATATTTTCTCTGAGGAGACGCAGCCTTGTCTTTGTTGAGCCACTGTCTGTCTGGTACAGTCGACGGTCTGGTTTGTGATGCGCTGCCGCCGCCTATCGTCAGATTAGAGTACTGCAAGGCGTCGCCTCGCAGCCAGGCATGGTGGTTTATTAATGAGAGCAAAAAATATGACAAAGAGCTGTTTTTTATTATTTGTTCTCTTTCAAATTGAAGAGATATCACTTGGAAAAAAAAATTCTGATTCCCCTTTTATCATCTTGTCATTGTTAGGAGAATGGACACGTGAAAACCAACGGTGATGTCTCCACTAAGCCTGACGGGGACGCCGCCGCCACCAACGGTTCGGCCGAGGCGGCCAAGGAGCCCGAAGCTGGGGCAGGAGGCGATGCCATCGAACCGGCGCCCGCCGCAGACGGGGAGGCCGCCAAGCCTCAAGGCGAGGCCGCCGCCAAGGAGACCCCCAAGAAGAAGAAGAAGTTGTTCTCCCTGAAGAAGTCCTTCAACATCAAGCTGAACCTGAAGAAGAGCAAGAAGAGTGAGGCTGTGAAGGAGGAGGCCGCCGCCACCGACGCCACCGCCGCTGCTCCGGCCGCCGCCTCTGAGGAGAAGCCGGCTGAAAACGGAGCCGCTGCCGCCACTGCCGCTGCTCCCACAGAGGAGAAGAAGGAGGAAGCAAAGGAGGAGGCTCCCGCCGCGGCCGAGGCTCCGAAGGCGGAGGAGGGGGCGGCCAAGGAGGAGGCACCCAAGGAGGAGGCCAAGGAGGCAGCCGCTCCGGCCCCCGAGGCCGCCAAACCCACAGAGGAGAGCAACTCGACCCCCGCCCCCTCTGAAAAGAAAGAGTGATTGTACGTTGAGCTCACAATGAACTGGGTGAACTGTTTTTCCAAGAGAAAGAAAGAAAAATTTAAGAGTATATATATATATATATTTATATATATGTGTATATGTACACATATGTATATGGATATATGTATATGTAAATATATACACATGTATGTGAAAGACTCCTTCGACGTGCCACTTTTCGTCATGATAACAAGACGACAGACTAGATTCACTAGATCACCTCCCTGGTTACAGCTCGACATCTGGACGTTGGACTGGGTTGTTTCTGTTTTTTTAGGCAGCGGGTCGGTCGCCGTGCGGAGAACTGGATTTAAACGGGCCGGAACGCGAAGTGGAGCCACGATTGGGTGAATGAAAGATGGACGGACGGAGAAAGATGGAGCCGAGGCATCTTTTCCTCAAAACAACCACAGCTGAAGATGCCTCCCAAGCTGAAGGAATGAAGCTAAATACGATACTAGGACACCACCACCACTTGAAATGACTGTTAAATAGAAGAAAAAAAAAAAAAAGGAAAAAAAAAAAAAGTGAAATCAGAAAATTAAAGAGACTCGTCAACTTTTTACATTACTATATTTTAACCCAAATTTGAAGTATTTTGTGGTGTATTATAGAGAACCATCTTAAAGATTCAGAGAAGCTATGTCTCGTTTGTTAAAAAGAAAAGAAAATAGACAGTTTTGATTTTTACCGTACTATGAAAGAAGAAGAAGAAGAAAAAAAAAAAGGAACACTTAAGCTTGCTATGTTCACTGTTGAGGTTTGATATGATGCAGAGTTGTTTATCTGTCGTGTGTGAGCCTGAATCTGCTTTGTCTCTGTAAATACGTTGGATTGATTTCTGTTCTTTATTTTGCTAATGTTGACAGATGTTACTGGTTTTATTGTAAAGTTGATAATGGTAAATAAATGTTGGGTACCTGCCTGTTCATGTGTCTGTACGGTTATTTTCACCATGCACTACGGTTCATATAGTCCCCACAATCAAACAGGATTCGGTTTCTGTTGATGTATAATGTTCTAATTTCCCATCTAGTCTTTACCAAGATCCTTTTCTACCATGAAGTTGAGACCAATTTGCTTGGCAGAAGTAGTATATAATCATCTTTTGGACTGAAACGATGAATCTGATTAAGTATGATTAATCAGATGAATCGTGATTCATCAGATTAATCGATTATCAAAATAATCGCCAACTACTTTAGTAATCGATCGATCATTAACTAGAGTAAACGGACTCAAAACAATGCCAATTGCTGACCGAACAACATCCTCACAGCAGTAATTGAGCTAAAACTGTCCAAAAACACAAAAACTTTGAATTTAAGGCCAAACAAATACCCTTCTTTGTATGTAAATATGTATGTAAATGCATTCTAAACAGAACTCCTCAAGTGGCATTGTTTTAGCTTCACCTGATTCAAGTTCTGTCCAAAAACTCTCCTATTAATCAATCCTACTGTTAATTGCATAAATTGGCATTATTAAAGCCTGAAGAATTGGAAATTTCTTATCTGATTAATTGTAAAAAAAAAAAATCGATAGACTAATCAATTACTAAAATAATTGTTAATTGCAGGCCTAATTGTCTAGAAGCTCATATCTAAAAACGTGACCACAACTTGGCTAAATTTAACCTCGGTTGCATGCGTTGACCAAAGTTTAACATTTAATATACAGGCTACATTTATCAGAACCACTGGAAAAGATGTGTAAAAAAAAATCTTAAAATAAATATATCTTGAGCATAATAATCTCACACTGATATCTAAAAAAAAACAAAAAACAATGTTTGTTTTGGCGACATTTACTCACTCACTTAAAGGAAGAAAGATCTCACTTTTAGAAATAATTGTTTTTCACAAAAAAACAGTGCCAAGGTTTATCTTCTGTTGGCTGAACTTTTTGTTGCCATATTTTTTTCTTTATTACTTTAATCTTGCTGAAAGATCAAATAACATATATTTGAGTTTTCTGGCTCTCTGGACCAGATTTTCATTTAAAATGTTTTGAAATTTCAACAAATATTCAGAAGAGAAACAAGCCCACATCACCACACATCCTCCACTGTGGATGGGTTTCTGTTACACACATTTATCCTTTGTTTTATACTGAGCTGATCTTTTGTGTTTTTTGCCAAGAACCTGAATATTTTATTTTGTAATACCCCAACATGCCATTCTCTAAAGAGGGCTGCCAACAGATTGGTCACCAGTGATTTTAACAAAAACAAATAATTCTTAACATAATGTTGGGTAAATGATTCCAGAATGTGTTTTTCGTCGGATTTGGTTCGTCCCTACCAAATCCGAGGTAGGGATGAATCGTCCTCTGTCCCACATCTGAAGCACAGACTGGTTTACGTCTGTGTGATTTCTATGGTGTGAAAAATGTTTGACGGAGAATGTAGAAATGGGTTAGCCTTACTTTGTCAGATGCCAAAGTAAGGCATCTGACAAAAGATGCCTTACTTTGGGTCAGAGGAAGCTCTGTATTTTCATTCCTCCTCTCTCTTGGCTGGATGGATAATTGTTTGGCTACCCTGACTGTGTAATTGCACAATTTGACATTTTCAAAATAAATACACTTAATGGAAACATGTCAATTTCAAACAAACTCATCTTTCAATAAGTTTGGGTGCTAAGATGAGGTTGGTTTCTTGGCTGTAGCATAACTAACTTATTCCGCAAAACTGCAATGGAAACACTTTTTTCCCCGTCACACGAATCACATGATCAACCACTAAATGTTGCCACTGGCACAAACCACGAAGAAGATGATGACAGGAAGTAGCTGGAGGATCATGACTGTGTGATCTTAGTTGCGTTTCTTATTTAATGGAAACACAGCAATTGCAAAAATTACGTTTTTCCAACATTAGCAGAATATCGACAAAGTTTTGCTCACATTTGCAGTGTAAATGCAGCTCCTGTCTTTTGGATGCCTTGATGATTTTTTTCACTTTGGATTCGGAAGAGAATTTCTTAAAAAGAAAACCGGTTGAGCCAGAAGCTTCTTTGAGAATTTAAATAAGGGGATAACAAACAGTCACACAAAAATTTACACAAAGTTAGACGAACGTAGCACAATTTAGCTTAAAATATATTTACTACCAAATCTTGACAAGGTGGTCCCTCCTGGTTCAATGCAGGTGCACCTGGATGAGACTTCTTGTGGTTCTGCTTCTTCTTGTGTTTGAAGAACACAAGGATTCAGGGAGAAGAGACATCACCAAGGCTAATCAGCCAATCAGAAATGGAATTTTTTAAATGTGCGGCTATGACATGTTACACACCTAAACTGAAAAAAAGGAAGAATGGAAAGTAACCAACCATTTAGGTAAAACTATCTGCCACTGAAGCCAGTTGAAGGGTTTACATTTTAGATATTTACATATTGGTTATTATTTCAAGTTAACCTAAAGTTACAAAAAAAACAAAAAAAAAACGGTAGTAACCTTTACCTGAAAAACATTTTGAAACACAAAGACTTTTGAGAGTCGTTTTCTCATATCATATCATATCATATCATATCATCTCATCTCATATCATATCATATCATATCATATCATCTCATCTCATATCATATCATATCATATCATCTCATCT